TCCTTTTTACACGAGATATCAGATTCGTTTCCTATACTCGGTCACTGGACGGGCGGGGCCGTCACTACTCACACGCGGTGGTCATACCGCCCCTCCTCCCTCTGCGGTCGCAAGGGTGGCAACAGGCAACACTTTTCTTCACAGCGCAGGACTCCTGGCTCTGTGTGTGTGTATGAGTGTGTGACTCTGTGTGTGAGTGTGTGGCTGTGTGAGTGTGTGACTGTGTGGCTGTGTGAGTGCCGCCGACAATAGCAGGCTTAACTGCGGTCGCATAAATGAAATGGCTATGGTCGGTGTCGCGGTGTGTGTGGCTCCTGTGCGGCGCCGCCGCCGCGAGACCTTCTTACAGCGGGCTCGTATGTGGCTGTGCCCCGGGGCAGTTTCTTTTTATGTGAGTCGCAAAATGATGTAAAAGTGGCGCGCACAGGCGAGGAGGCGCGCGCGCAAGGCGTTCAAGCGTTTTCAGTCCGTAATCGGCCGAAAGGGTGGAATTAGCAGGCGCGCGCGCGCGCGACTTGAACACTGCAATTGGAGGAACTGCCCAAGTCTTCTTTATGAAACATTAAATGTGGGGCACTCGGCAAGGCCGCATACCTTATTCAGCGCTTAACTTGATCGTCCCGCACATGCTCACTAGCACTGTCCACTGCCAGTACGGGGCACTTCAAAGACACTACAAACTGAGTTGTCTTTGAAACACTTCTTGTGTGAGATGGAATGGCGTGCTCTTCCTTATTAGCGCTCGTGATGGGATCGATAATCGACGCATCGGTCTTGGCTCGAATCAGCGCGAGTGTGCGCGCCCCATAAGTGCAGCGCGCCATGAGCACCAAGACATTAACAGGAGGGGATGCAGTGCGCTGCAGTGTATGGGGCGGGTGCGGCCGGCAGTCGCGTTAAAGAGGACAGGGCGGCCTTGTCACTGAATGTCTCACCGCGGACCACCGGAGTCTCGGCGCTGTACCTCAAACGCTTCCCGAGTTCTTGGCTTTCCAATATAACGACGCGGTAAAAAATGATGCCTAATTTTTGGAGGAGAACTGGAAACTTTGAGGTAATTCCCATATTTCAGGGAAAACTCCGCACATTTTGAGGAAATATTCTCCAAAAATTAGGGAGTTTCCCACTTTCTCTTAGACCTACCCAAAATTTGTAGAGTTTTTCCTGCAATATGGGAGTTTCTTAAAAGTTTTCCGTTTTCCCTAAAACAAACAAGCAGGCCCGCCCTTCCGCCAAACGAAGTTGCCAGCTCCACTTCGCTCCGCCGGCAACTCCGTTCGGCAGGGGCCGGGCCTGCTTGGCCTGCCGGCGGCGATGGTCGGGCCTGCGGCCCGACCATTTCTGTCACGCGATTTGCTGAAGAACATGATCAAATGATGTAGCGGGCCTTCGGCCCGCTTAGACCCGTTGTCCTTGAGTTTGCCCCAAAGACTCGAGAAAGGGATGTAACGGTAAAGCACCGCGACTACAACCCACCCTTCTGCTTAGAAAACGGTTTTTGGGGGTGGGGAGAGAGTTTCCTTTCTATTTTGCGGTTTTTATGCCTTTTTCTACAACGTATTGATCACCATGGCAATTTTTAGCTTATTTTCGTCAAAAAAGACCCTCTAGCGCCTAAACGGTTAGAGATAGAGCAAAACGGACGAAATTTTCGCCCAGAGGGCTCTACTTTGCCGAGTTACCCCTTAGGAGAACATAAAAAAATTTACATTTTGGAAGAATTTTTGAACCTTGGATACCCCCATTCACACCCTTAGGGGTGGTTGCCAGGATTTGCCGTAGGCGTTTCGTTCTCTAGAAGTGGACCTTAAGATACCCTGAAAATTTCAAGTCTCTAGCACATCTCCTTCTAGTGGAACAGACAGACAGACAGACAGACACACAGACACACAGACACACACGAGGTCGTTTGCATAAGCCCGCTGGATAGCTTTTTCAAAGCAGAAGGGCGGGCTAAAAACTCGGACATTCTCTTTACCGTATCCGAATTTTCGACCATCCTAGCGGTTTTCTGCATAAAACACCGTTTCTACACCCAGAAAAATGATTTCTTGTTTCAAGTACATTTGTACTAGAAGTGACCCAAGATTATTTTTTTTCTTGTTACCAAGACGATTTTTGCTTTCAAGTACGAACATTTTCTTAAATGAAAGGTAATATCATCTTGTGTCAAGTTTAAAATTGATCTTGGGTCAAAATATTCTTGAAATAAGAAAACATTTTTCTGAGTGTAGCTTGAGAAAGGCTATACAACTCCGGAACCACTGGTCGGAAAAATTAGGGAGAAAATACAAAAAAGGATACAATGGACTTTCCTCCATCGAATTAATATAGTAGCCTAACCGCCAGCAAATGCCCCAAAAGCCCTGACGGCCGTTTTGGGCCGTTTTTGAAAAAAAAAAAAGTCGGAGATGATCGAAAAGGGTGTCCCCCGCCCCCGCCCCCGCTAAGCTGGTCCTTCTTACTAAAACTTATGTTTATCATTTTTGGTGCGGTACTTTTTAAATTCATTTTACACTTACAAAACCTGTAATCCTTTTTACACGAGATATCAGATTCGTTTCCTACTCGGTCACTGGACGACTCTGCGTCTGCGGTGTACATCCTTTTAGTAAACGAAACGACCAGCAAACTTGTAGGACTTTGTTGTAAAACCATGGGATATTTCGGAATGTGTCACAAGATATTTCGCCGAGTTTTTCGCCGTTCCCAGTACATGCTGCTCCACGGTGCCATCCTCTGGGATCCTCATGCCTAAACTGAGCCGGGGTCGACAGCCCCGGGGTGCAGAACTGTGCGGCGGGGCAGTGAACGCTCAGGTTCCTCCAAGGTGCCTTTCAGGGTTCACTTCAGGGGGCGAGACAAACACGTTTTTTGAAATCTGTCGTTAAAGAGATATAACCCCAACTGGAAGCGAGGTTAAGTACACTGCCTTGGTCAAAATGATTAAATAAGAATATACTGTTTCGAAATGTGGCTGAACCCTGGTTTGCCATCGCAATTATTGTAAATGCGATATAAGACTCTGCAATACTCTCCATAGAATCATCGTTTAGAATTGCAATAGTTTAACAGTGAACAGAGGAGGACTACCTCAAAATCCCTTGCCTTATTTCATTCAAAATACTCACATGTTTCTGGTGCGTTCAAATCTCTTTCAGCGTAATCCAACGAGTTACTCCTGTCTCACAAGCACACGCACACCCTCACACACACGCACACCACACGCGGGCTCGGGTATTAGTCCTCCAACATGAGCGCGATCGGCTTGATCTGCTCCTATAGGCGTCGCTTCGCCTCGGTACCGGAACGAGTATGACTCGGATAGAGGACCGCGATTGTCTGAGGAGGGCTTGATGCGGCAGCGCTGAGCCTCCCGCCGGCGCCGGGGCCGCACCGTCCGCCCGGGGAGGGGCCTGACCCCCCCTCGCCCCCTCTCCTTCTCCTGGCTCACGCCTCGGAGGCTCCTCACACCTCCCAGCCCCTCACCCGGCCCAGACTGCCGGACAGGGGGCATCGAGGAGAGGGCGCACCAGTCTGCTCCAGTTTGACCTCGCGGCTTTCGTCCGAGAATACTACTCATGTCCCCTCGTCACTCGCCGCGGATCATAGTCTGCAGGGGATGTTAAACACTTTGGCCTTCTAGATACGCGTGGTATAGGCGGTGTTTCTCTGAACCCCGCCATGGACGCCATGGTGTACCGGTCGCGAGGGAGAGAGACAGCTGTAGCCGTGCAGCTGCATCCCCGCGCGCCCGCCGACTCTCTCGCACTCCCACAAAAGTCCGGCACTTCCAGCCCGCCACTGCGTCCACGTCCGCCTTTGTGCTCGCGGGGCAGGGCAAGGCCTCGAGAGAAAGGTGCTCCTGGAATACAGGAGTTAGGAAGGCGATCACCTGCCGCAGCTGCAGGCGCATGCAGCGTGCGCTTGTTTTGCCGTGTGTCCTCCTGTAGGCAAGCGGTAAAGTGCTCTATGAATATAGGTTTTCCGGATGGCGATCACTTGTGGGTTGCGAGCACATTCAGCGTGCACTTGTCTTGCCGCGTGCCTGTCGTTTGGCATTTAGAGTGTAATCTTCCACCTGCTAATGCGTGTCAGCCCTCAGCACACATTCACAACCCGAGGGATTTCAGTTTAGTATCGTTTGTGTGGGTGGATAACTCACTGTGAAAAATTGTCGTACCGGGTACAGGAAAATTTTCCATGAAAGAAGTCGTACAAGTACAATCTAAAATTGTACAATTTACTAGCCCTATGAATCGACTTGGAATCGAATATCGAGCGACAGTGGGAGGTTGTACATGTACGACTCGTATTGTAAATGGCAAATTACAAAATATATCGTACATGTACAAATATATTTCTCACAGTGCTCCCCTGCCAAATGTACACCTCTAATTTTGCCCAATTCAAACTAATTCAGACCAATTCAATCTAATTCAACTAATTCAGTCCAATTCAAGCCAATTTACATTCAATTCAAGTCAATTCAAGCCAATTCAAGTCAATTCGCGCTAACTCAGTAGAAAAAAATCGAAATAATTCAAACCAATTCAAAAACAATTCAACAGATTCAGTCCAATTCAAATTCAATACAAGCCAATTCAAGCTCATTCAAATTCAATTTTTGAAATTTGTACACCCAATTCAGGAGTTATCCACCCATCGGTTTGTGTCCAGATGAACTGTAAGCATGTCTCCTCGATTACCTGTCGGAATTCACAATAAGGCTTGGTGTTGCATTGTGCAAGTCATTAATTTCCTTTCAAAAAAAGTGTTTGGCTAGTAAAGTGTCTTGTTTTCTCACTGTCAAGCTTACACTGTATATCTGGGGTGTGCAGCATCTGTGCGACTGAAGTCCCCCAGATTTACAGTGTACCTAATGCATGTCATCGATCGAAAAATTACATTAGAAGTCAGGTGTGCGAATTCCGCTTACCTGCGGGTGGGTCGCCCGCCACAATTCCAGGACACTGATAAATCACTTTTTCATCCGTCTAACACTTGTGAGTGTTGAACGCCTCTGCTTAACACTTCCTCGTGTTGGTTGTGTTAGGAATCTGTACGATGCCCAGCAGCAGACGCCAGACGCCTGCTCTTGCGACACATGTGTTAAAAGTACCCGTCCCCATATTGCACCCGCACACATCAGCCCAGCCCATGGAGTGCAATAAAATGGAAAGCTTCCGCGAAGGACGTGGGTTCCTTTTGCACAGCACCCCTGACAAGCTCGCTGACCTGTAGTTGGCGACCACAAGTGCCCAAATTTTTAGAAATGGGCACCCTTAGTTGCCCAGCTGTTGACCAGATTTACAACATATCATTGATTTGCTTAGAGTGTCCACTGCAAAAAATTAGAGTCTGATACAGAACGATCTACAGCGTTACTGTAGATGCCGCTCTTAGTCACTGCACCT